GATATGTACCTAGGATTATATTTTTTTTTGACTTTTTTAATTTATTTATTTTTTTTTTTTTTTATAAACCTGCAGCATCTGTTTACAATATAGTAAGTTAATGACGTTTGTTTTTGTTTGGTTTAGTGTTTCTTTTGTTTTTTGTTTTTTTTGTTTTTTTTTTTCTCGGGTGGGTACTTTTATATGAAGGTTTATATATTTATGTTAAGCTAATTTTATTTGCTCGTCGACGACAATGTTTGGGAAACTATTGTTGATGGAAATTATTTTCCTGTTGCTCAAGTCTTTAGAAAATGATGTAAATAGGAAGTTAGATAAATACATGTTCCTTAGTAATAGTCATTTTACGTTTTTGACGAAATTCACTTTTAGAATTTCAGTAGACTAAATCTTGATGTTAGGAAAACTGTATATATGAAGAAATAAATATTTGCGGACATTTAAATTTATTGACAAATACAATAGCAGCTAACAACAGTTTTTACACATATCGATAAACCGTATTCAGTATTTGACGGTCTGCTCTTGAAAAGGACCTCCATTCAGTGCTTAACTGGGGCAGGAAATGGCTTGTAAATGTTAATGCCTTCAGAATGAAAGTGCTCTCATAGAGAAACTTTCCGGCCCGTCATCATCATGGCTGATGCTAGACTCATGAAGAGCAATATACTGTGCCTTCTTCTCCTCACGTTTTCAAGGAGAATTGGGTCATTGCGTCGTGACAGAATATGTTTTTCTTGCCATAATCCAGCTTGCATATGTACAAATCCACCATTCGTCCGTGCATTGAATACTGTAGCCATATCTGGTTAAGTGGTCCTGCTGTTCATCTCGAGGTTCTTGACAAGATCCAAAGAAAGATCTGCAATGTAGTCGATCCTGACTTGGCATCTTGACTTCAGTCACTTCCTCATCGACGTGACGTGGCATCCCTCTGTCTCTTCTACAAATATTTTCATGGCAACTACTCTGACGACATTTTCTCCTGGTGCCCGGACTACGTGATTTTAAGCATGAGACTAGATTGGCACCTAGACCCCCCCACCTTTTAGTGTTGAATTAGTTCATTTTAACTGACACTTCAACTCAAAGTTTCTTTTCTCCGGCTTCCCGCCTGTGGAACTCTCTTCCATTTCCTTGCTTTCCTGATAACTACAATCTAAATTTAAATGCAACGTCAGTCGCCATCTTCTATCTACTTGGCCCCGGTTCAACTTTTTTCCATTCCTCAGTCCCCCCCCATACCCAGTCTTTTCTTCCACCTTCACTCTCTGTAACTCCATGCTTACCAGTGGCATTCCCATCTTGCTTAGGGGGAAATTATTAAAATATACACAGACACACATATATATATATATATATATATATATATATATATATATATATATATATTTAAATTGAATGAATTCTAACCTAAATTTCTTTTTAAATAATACTACACGCAATAAAAACACACACACACACACACATATATATATATATATATATATATATATATATATATATATATATATAATTTAAATTGAATGAATTCTAACCTAAATTTCTTTTAAATAATACTACACGCAATAAAAAAAACACCTATAATAAAATAAAATTAATATGAAATGCCATAAGATGATTTGAATGACCCATTAGTACTTACATGAGAAACATTATAATACTAGGTTTATATATAAAATAAAAGTTTACGAAATCAGTGAAATTAAGTAACCATTTTTTTGCCGTCATAGTCATAATTTAAAAAAAATGTAACCTCATATACATATTTAAACTTGATGTTAAAATAATCCTACATAATATAATGGATTCTAATACATTTAACTGTTCTTAAAAAGAATATAATAAAATAAAATTAAAAGGAGAATATTTCAAATCGTAGTTAAATAAAAAGTATTAGGAAAAAAAAAAAAAAACCGAAAATCTTTAAATTTAAAAATGACGTTGAAATTTTTTTACCGTTAACAATTTTTAAAAAAAACATTCAGACGACATCCATTCAACTGATGTCAGGTTTCATTGTAAAATACATCCCTAGCCCTTACCAAATTGTAGCTAATAACTGATACAATGATACTGACATAAGGAAAATCTTGACATCCCTTGTTCAATTTAAGTAGGATATTCTGTAACCATGGAAACGTGATTTTAGCTGTGTCTTTAAAACCCGGTAATTTTTAAAAGTTACTCTAAAATTCGCTTGAAGATGAAATGGAACTAATGCTTTTAATTTAATTGCAAAATTAAACTCGGGGTTTTTAGCTTCTATTTTTGAAACATGGTTGGAACTGTGTAGCGAAAAATAACATATTTTAAATCAATTAATTTATAATATTAATGCTCTGTAAATTTACATTGAGCACTATTTTGTAAAAATAAAAATATCTACAAGAACACCGGATTTTATATCTTACTGTTCTTTCTTTTTATTTATTTATATATATATATATATATATATATATATGGTGCTCACAGGCTAATGAGTCCGTTATTTAGTCTAATAGTTTCTATTACCCAAAGAAGTAAATTAACTGTAAATTGTAGGCATAGCTTATCTTTCACCTTACAATATGGTTAAACTTTAAATTTTGGTAGTATAGTAAATAATATTTTGTTTAGTTGAATTTAATATTTCTATGTATTGCTGTTTAGTCGGTATTATTAGTATCTTGTATAATTATTACACTTTTCTAAACACATAAGTTACATTTAATTATTCCTTAGAGGAGCCTTTTTATTATCAACTATAAAAAATATGTTACAATTAGCTATACGTTTGATTGTTTCCTACACCTCCCCACTTAACTTTTTATAATATTGAACAAGTTACATTTGTTTCATGATTATGATTCATGGTTTCCACACACACATAGTTTGTATTAATTTTTAGTCTGCCACTCGTGACCTTGTCTAGGACTATATTTCATACGGCATTTTGCGATGATCAAAATTCCCCTTTTTTAGCGTAGGTCTGACACCTAACTGGTTAATCAGGGTAGGCCCACAAGCCTTATTTTAATTTTGTTTTGTTGTTATCTGTTTTCAAAATTTAAATATAATTTTTTACTCACCAGTAATTTACTATCGCCTGAGGAAGTACATTTTGAGTGCTGAAACATGAAACTATTGTGTGGCGATTTTTAACATGTTTTCATTTTAATCGCATATAAAAAATTAGAAACCCCTAATGATCCTCGCCTAAAAAATCACTGAGGATGTGCGCCAAAGCATCAATCCGATGTATTTCACGCTCGAATACTCAGACCGCTAGACGAAAATAAATAAATATATTGTTTAATAAATAAATGGAGCGTCTACTTAAATACGAGTATCCACTAAAAATAACGTTTAAGTAATAAAAATCTGTCGGATTAATAAATAAAAACCTTTAGAAATTGCTTTGTTTACGTTAGGATATAAACAGGTATCTGTCTATCTATCTATCTATCTATCTATCTATATATATATATATATATATATATATATATATATATATTATATTGTAATAAAAAAAAAAAACAATAAGATATATAATCCGGTGTTCTTATTGATATTTTTATTTTTACAAAATAGTGCTCAATGTAAATTTACAGAGCATAAATATTATAAATTAACTGATTTAAAAATATGGTTTCTTCGCTACACAGAAATTACCATGTTTCAAAAAACAGAAACTAAAACTTCAAATTCAATTATATAATTAAATTAAAGGCCCTATTTCTGTTACATTTTCAAGCGAATTTTGAAATAGCCTATTTTGAATATATATATATATGTGTGTGTGTGTGTGTGTGTGTGTGTGTGTGTGTGTGTGTGTGTGTGTGTGTGTTTGTAAATAAAAAGAAAGAACAGTAAGATATATATTCCGGTGTTCTTATTTGATATTTTTACTTTTACAAAATAGTGCTCAAAGTAAATTTATAGAGCATTAATATTATAAATTAACTGAATCAGTTAATTTATAATATATATATATATATATATATATATATATATATATATATTTTATATAATATATATATATATATATATATATATATATATATATATATAAATATAACAAAGTATATGTAGATATTTCTATTTGTCAGATGATTTAGTACTTACGAACATACACAGACACACTATGAAAGAAAGAATAACCTTGTACGAACGAAAAGCACATCTCTAAAAAAAAAAAGAAATATAAACATTCAGTTGGTGATATGACTTGAGTAGTCAGCGGAGTAATTTGGTAGAGGTCCGTCTACGAAACTCATTATTCAGTCAACATTCTGAAGGTACCACCAATCATCTAAGTGACAAACTTTATATTTGTATTAATTCTATACACACAAACAGACCTTTTAATTGCTGTTGCTCCCAGCTCTACCCTGACCTGGCGTAGTAGCACCTGTTAGGGTCCTAACTATGGGAAAATAGTTACCCCCACCAAAAAAAAACTGGGGTTATAACTCTACGAAAGTATAAAAATACATTTTCAGTATATAAATATTACCAGCTCTACATTTTTGTATCAGAAATTAGTAATGATCCAAAGAAGATTAAATTTCGGCATTAAATGACCCATAAAGTGTCGATTGCTATGCCGCTAAACAAACAAACAAATAATATATATATATATATTATATATATGCAACGTATGTGAGTATTATTGTTTGTTAAACTATTTTGTACTTATATTTTTGGTTCATTCTTTCAGAATTCCTCGAGTGAATTCCGTTCGATACTGCCATGTTATCTGCTGGCCGTGAAACTCGGTTGGCAATTCCTGTTAGTCGCCGCCATGTCTCCACTCTGACACCTCTGCTCTTGCAAACGCATTTCCTGCTTTAGGGAATTGTGTCTCCCGCCAAAAACTTGTTCTCAAAATATCAGAACGTTTATGATTCCTGGCAAGTTTAGCAAATAATTATACATAAAAAGTATTTTTATAACATTTATTTCTTAAAACGCCTCCAAGTTTAATACTATCTAAATACTGAGAGCTGAAAATCATTTCAAATAGAGATAAATATTAATATATAGATAGATAGATAGATAGATAGATAGATAGATATTATCCACATTTCTAACATACACAAGAAAAACATGCTTGCGAAGGTGTTGATGTCTCACACTTATACACACAACCATACTAATATATACACTTACACACATCATACACACTCCCGAAGAACTAAATGATAACATACACTAAACACAGTCACACACCCTTTCCAGGAACCAATAAAACTGTCAAAATTAGTATGAAACTATCCAGCCTCTATCTTAAAAAACAACTTAAAGGGGCCGTGTGACCAAAATAAGGACTGACCAAAATTAACGATAAAAACAAATGACAACTGCAGATAAAGTTAATTTACTTCAAAAAGTCATACATTCCTATAGTTCACTGCTACTAACAAGCAGAATTTTTTTCCTCCTGGTGATGGCCATGCTAGCCGAAACTAGTCAAGGAATCTAATTGAAATAATAAAACAAAAAAATATTAATATACAACCCAATGTATATATATATATATATATATATATATATATATATATATATATATATATATATATATATATATATATATATATATATATATTATACACCGTGTGTGTGTGATTAGTCATTGCTGGTCTATTTAAAATAACCCTGAAACCATTACACTGGTCAACACGATTTTTGGTGCCATGAAGCAAAACACATTTTTTTAGCTAAATTGATGGTGCTGATTCCGAAAATGACCTTAGTTTTTCATGGTTAGCTATCATTTTTGCTGAACTGAAATTGCTCATTTTTTGAAAAAAAGTTCAATTTACGATCTTGTCTGATCGCAAAATTTAGGTCGTAGAAACCACTTAATTTTCAGGTAGACCGAGCAATTTATGTCAACCACCTGGAATAAATTATGTTTATAAGAAAAAAGTGTTTTTGAGTCAAAAATTTAAAAATAGATGTACCGAAGTTTTCCAATTTACCGCCAAAATTCAAATTAACTGATAAACTTTATCAGTAATACACTTTATTAAACCTGATAATTAAGGTGACATCAAAAAAATGAAACCCTAAAATCATAAAATTATCCCATCACTTTTATCCCTTCACTGCGGAAGGAAACCAAACACATTGATAGCATTTTGTTTTCACAGTTGGAAAGAAACTCCAACTAAAGACATCCCAATTGAATCCACCTATTCCATTGTACATGATACTGCTGGAGTATGAAAAGGGACTTAAATAACATTGAACATAACAGAAGGATGAAATATGAATCAAGAAAGAGAAAAATTTTACCATAGTTCTTATTTTCACGTGGGTTTTATTTCTGCTGTTAGTTTATTAAATGATGTGATGAAAATACTTGTTGCTCTTGGTATATTCAATTGTGTTATTTTTAAAAACTTAGGGTCTGAATGTTATTGCAAAAATAGTATTTCTTAATAAGCAAACCAATATTTGTTGGTTAAATACGAACTGAGAAGTTTCTACGATTTTATTTTGAGAGATATTGTCATCTCTCAATATCACATATACAGAAAACAAATGAAAAAAAATGTTTGTTTGTTTTGTTTTTTTTTTCTAAAAATGAGGCAATTCTGTACAGTGAAAACGGTGGCTAACCAAAAAAAAGTAAGGTCATTTTCAGATTCAGCGCCCTCAAATTAGCTAAGGAAAGATGTTTGAGGTCTCGACACCATTTCAAAATTTTTGTTTTTGTTGACCAGTGTTGTGGATAGTTTTGGAGATTCAACTTTATTAAAAATGGGACACAAATTTAATTAAAATTGACTAAAAATCAAAAAATAAAGACGCATAAATTCTATGAGTTTGTGGTTTCTATCGATGTACAGGGTGACCAAAAAAACGGGAAATTTTTTAAGTGCGTATTGCCAGACAGTGACCTTGAGCAAGTAAACATTTCGCCATTTTAGTAACCATGGATCAGTGGAACGGATATTCGTTGACATGCGTTAGCAGCAGTCAATGAGGAATCTCAACAGCAGATTTCAAGAATGCATTCGTACAGCAGGACGCCATCTACAAGACGTAATTTAAAAAAAAAATGAAAATTCCATCATTGTTTTTTAAATGGCATGTTTTAAGGTTTCAATTACTATGAATAAAATATTTTTCTTCCATCACTCTTGGTTTTATTGGATTGTTTAAAAGTTCCCGTTTTTTGGGGTCACCCTATATTTCTGCGTAAAATCTTTCTTGCCTTTTTTTATGAAAACCGGGCCATGACAAAATTGTAGCGACTTTTGTTGTTATTTCATTAAAGAGAAAAGAAAGTCAATTATTGTTATTCTTCCTTTGTAAAGAATTCCGCATCACACAATGAAAAGCAAGTATTTTTTTTTATATCTCACTTTCTCAAATAACAAAGAAATTTAGTTCATTTCTAAAATATCTCCCAGCAACTTTAAGAAAAAGACTTTAAAATTTCCTTAGAATTTCCCGACAACTCTAGACGCAGAGGGAAAAGAATGTACTTCTGGTTGTGAGCAAACAGAACAGACGGAAGGGGAGAGAGAGAGAGAGAGAGAGAGAGAGAGAGAAAGAGAGAGAGAAAGAGAAAGAGAGAGAACGGGAGTTGAGAGGTCGAAAGAAGGAAAGACAAATAATTAAAAAAGCATGAAAGGAAAGAAAAAGGAAAGATATGGTGACTGAAAATCTTCAAAATTCAATCACATTTCAGCGTAAGCGAACAATGACGACGGGTGCAGTCGCATATATATATATATATATATATATATATATATATATATGTGCGTGTATGAGTGCGTGTATAGATAGGTAGAAAAGATAAAGAACAAATCGGAAACGTTTATAAACCTAACGTTTCGCTTTTATTAAAGCTTCAATGAGATATGGAAACCTTTTTTATTACTTTTGGGAGTGTGTGTGTGTGTGTGTTGCTTGATTTTAACTGTTTAAGCAAGGTCACGCGAATTTGACTAGTCAAGCAGCGTTCGTGCGAATAACTTACGTGTGTACGTGTATCATATTTCTAGTTTGTCTATGCGGTGTTCGGATGATAGTGCATATATGTATATGCGTGTGAGTATTGTGCACGTGTGTGTAGATAGATAGATATATAGATAGAGAGATAGATAGAGTAAATAACATGTTTAACCTTATCTTCCCGAGTTTCGTCCCTATGGGGGAGGAGGTAGCTAGCAAAAGATTATGAACATTTTATTTTATCTATGCTCTGCTTCTTAATACTTTACTTAAAATAATGAGTGCCTCAAAACCGTTATACTCCAGAAATACACTAGACGACCATTTGTTTCCTATTTTTATTATGTCATAGAGAGGTGAACAAATTATTATATTTCTATATGATAGTGTGTGTGTGTGTGTGTGTAAAAGAACGTAGGGTAAAATTTCCGCGTTCAAATCATTAATTTAAAAGAGGGCTCAATACAAAAGTAGAGCAATAAATATTTATTTATTATGCAGTGTTACATTAGAACATGCACATACCCACTACAAAACTGTACATCTTGTTTCAACGTTAACATTTTTTAAGGTTTCATCAGGTGGGGAAATCACGATGCATCATCATTTCCCACCGGATGAAACGTTAAAAAATATTTTAACGATGAAACAAGATGCACAGTTTTGTAGTAGGTATGTACATGTTCTAATGTAACACTGCATAATATATACATATATATATATATATATATATATATATATATATATATATATATATATATATATATATATATATATATATAATATATATTATCTATATATATATAGTTTTAAGATATGCTATATTTATGGCTTAAAAAGCTCAATATCAGGAACAAGGCGTATGTAAATATAAAAAGAGGACATTGAGGTCAACACCGACAGTTTTATGTCCAATGCAATCGTTAGAATCTCCAGAATTGTCCTAGAAAATATATATTTATTAGTAGTATAGATAGATAGATAGATAGATAGATAGATAGATAGATAGATAGATAGATAGATATGAATTGTATCAGATAGATAGATAGATAGATAGATAGATAGATAGATAGATAGATGCAGATTGGCACAAAGGGAAAGATTAACATAGATAGATAGATAGATAGATAGATAGATAGATAGATAGATAGATAGATAAGAATAAACAGAATGAAGTAGATATGAACTGCTCGAGATAAATAGGTAGATAGATAGGAATAAACAGAATGAGATAGATAGATAGATAGATAGATAGATAGATAGATAGATAGATAGATAGATAGATAGATAGATAAGAATAAACAGAATGAGATAGATAGATAGATAGATAGATAGATAGATAGATAGATAGATATGGTATTTGATTTGAAATTTGGGGGGAGGAAAAAAATACAGAAGCGAGACTGACCTTTTCTTTCTCTTTGTTTCAGCGTCTCTTGTGTTTTTGCAAAACATGCGTTCAACTTTGTCATTTCACTCTCCAAGAAACAAGCGTATTCATTACTCTGTCTGAAAAAGAAAAAGATAAATATAACTGAGCCACAAACTTTTAGTCAGCTGTGCCTTTACCATTTCAGCCATGGAGGTCCTTACAGCAAGGTAATCGGTTTACCCTTTTATGTACATCTTTCATTGCAAGCTAACAAATATGGACAGCGAGAAAATCCGCAGGCTTCTTCCAAATCAGTCGAGTTGTTTGTTAATCTCCTCCTCAAATTAGAAATTCCTCGTGTCAACCTTGAATCGAAAGGACAATTAATATTTTAAAGGAATTTATTTAACGTTTAACACAAACTGATGGAACCACATGGAGAGACTTCTATAAAAAGCATGAAGAAGAACAGAATAAAGAAAATTCTGGAATGTTCTTCTCAGCCCAAATCAGAATTATTAGATTCATACTCACTCTGCTCTGAAAACAAATTTGTTAACAAATTTCAGTTTGACGAATATTGTACAAGAAATCTGTTCATGTGAAGTAGAAAAGAAGAAAAATAAAAAGCACACAATGTCCCTCACCTTATAATTCACTCTCCCACCTCTCGCCCTCTCTCCATATATATATATATATATATATATATATATATATATATATATATATATATACACATTTTATTTTAGGATATTACATCGAAAAACATGTCAATATCGCTACACAATGGCAGTCATGTTTCGATGAATCTCATCAGGCGATTGTAAATTACTGGCGAGAATATTGCTCTACTTTGTATTGAGCCCTTTCAAATTAAATGTTGGAATTGGACTCTATTCGTTCTCATCTTACCTGATATATATATATATATATATATATATATATATATATATATATATATATATATATTGAGAGAGCGAGAGAGAGAAAGTGAGAGAAAGAGAGGATTGGTGGTTGATATTGTGAAGGTTTTTGGTTCTGTCTAGAGAGCCTAGGTTTTAAACACTTTAATTTACTGCTTAAGTTGGCCTTTTGATCCGTTTTTTCTATCTTAGTTAGGGATTTTTTCTTGTCTAAGCTTTTAACTCTTTTTGGTAGGTAACTTTTTGGTCGCGCCAACATTTATGTATACATACACACACACATATATATATATATATATATATATATATATAATTCAATTAAAAAATCAAACTTTTGACAAAAAATCATTAAATTAATGAAAAAGTACTCAATAGAGTTTTCAAATGTTTTAAGTAACCATTTCCCCAAAATGTCCATGTTACACAAAAGTTTTCAATAAAAGCACTGTGGAAATACTGTTGTATGTGAAATATGAAAAAAATAATAAAAGGGCAAAATGATAAGAAATGATGGAAGAACGACTGAGAAAGTAGAAGAGACAACATACAATTGCTGAAACGCAGTAAATTGTCCGCTGAATGGTAACTTCCTAGTGAAGAGTTTTGTCGCCAAAGCTAAAATAGAGCCTATAAAGGACATGAAAAGTGAAAGAACGTCCAAAATAACATATTATAATCCCAAATCTTCCTTTAAGCAAGCAAAGTATGAAAATAGCACAAATCTTGCTAGTCATATATGCGAAATGAAGGCAAAACTAGCAAAAGTCCTCTTGGGATGGACTATCCAATTTTAGTTTTTTATCCACACACACACACACGCACACACACACACACATATATATATATATATATATAATGCGTACATAGGATTACATATAAATATATATATATAATGCGGACATAGGATTACATATATATATATATATATATATATATATATATGCCGTATTTAGTGGAAAGTACTCAATATCCATGATAGTGCTAATATATGATAAAATATAGTTTTAATGTAAGCTATATTTATCGGTAAAAATGCTCAATATCAGTGGTACCGCGTATTTAAATATAAAAGTGAACAGTAATTTCGACAGTCTGTTTCATTCTTGAACGTAATGTTTGTTATGTTTTGGCCCGACTATTTTTATATGCTGGCCAATGGTGTATTATTAGTAGTAAAGTTTCTTGTATTAGCCTGATGCTTATTGGGTAGACGATAATTGTTATGTTTCAAATTATTCTGGAAGTTATTGAGCAGAAATAATTGTCGATATGAATGCAGTTATTTGTACCTATTTTATAGAGTTTTTGTTCATTTTTTCTCATTATTGATTACTTAATTATTTGTTGTTGATTATTATAATTATAATTTACTTGACTACAGTGATGTTTATGGTGATAGCATTACGCATGCGCCCAAAGAGGACGGAACTCTGATAATTGTAAATTAATTTTTTTTTCGAAATATGTTTTGGGTATATAGCCTTGTCGATTTCATTTAGTTTCGTTATATTGTTGTCCATGTTTTAATCACTTTTGTTATTAAAACTATTAAATTCACATTTTTCCGCGACCCTCCCACTTCATGGACATGTGTAGTTACATCAGTAGAAACAACATTTTAGTCTGATGAAGGCTTAAAGGAGGAAATGCTTAACACGAAAACTTCTTCCACTACATATATATATATATATATATATATATATATATATATATATATATATACATACACACACACATATATATATATATACATATGAAGAAAAAATATACAGAAAGAAACAAACAAAAATCTTAATATGCAATTATGCTGTATTAATGTTAATATAAAGTCAACGTTTGACGTTTCGGTCTATTTTAGACCATATTCAGGACATTTTCATTTAAACATAATTAACATTAGAACATAATAAAATTCTTATGTCCATCGTCTTTTCGTGTTGAATTGGGAAAGGTATGTATCCTCTTCATCTCCCTCCAGCTATGGGTAAAATAGCAGGACAGACTGGGTTCTATAGCCTTGGATGGCAACTGGTCTAGGAGAAGGACAACTCTGAATTCAAAACCTGCGGAGGGTCGTTTGGGAACCTTGTGGCATGCATTCGGTGCACCAGGTTTCTGTATTCGTCCCTCCAAAAAGTGTGGCTGGTCCTGCACAAGGCGTTCACCACTATAAACAAATCTCATGTGCCGGTGTCGGGACGTCGGTTTCCTGGGGACTTATCGGCCTGACCCTCATACGTCGAACGCGACGGGAGAGTCGATTATATATACAGTGTGTGTGTGTATGTCTTTGAGCAGCAGATCATTATTTAAACATATATTGTTAAATATGACAGACAATAAATGTCTATATAATAAACTTATTAAACTATAAACTTCGTATGGTTGCTTTAATTTCAGGTGAAACTGTACGAAGTCAGGACGGCTCATTATCAGACATAATAGACAATCATTGTCTGTCATATTTAACAATATAGGTTTATATATATATATATATATATATATATATATATATATATATATATATATTATTAAAAAATTCATATTTTTTTGATCCGATATATTTTAATTACTTCAAACGTTACTTATAATGGATAACCGTGTTTGAGTGGACGCTCCGTTTTATTTTAAACAGTATTTATTTCGTTTACCGGCTTGCACATTTGAAAAAAAACTTATTAAATAAATGTACCCTCCTTTCTTTAATAATTTTCTCGAATGTGCAGACCGGTAGACGAAATAGGTACTTTTAAAAATAAAACTTAGCGTCTGCTCATATACGCGTATCCACTATAAATAACGTTTGTAGTAATATATATATATAAAGGAATAATAAATAGAAAAAAAACTGACCTTGAATGATTACTAAGACGGGTTTAATCAGTCACCATGAAATTATGTTGCCAACTAAACGATAAAATGTGAAAACCAATGAACAAAAACGTGACTTGGGGCTTTCGGATTTAACCTGACATTTTATTTCCTCCAAGACTTTATTTTTCAATTATTTTCAGCTAGTGTATAATGCGCACCCCCACCCCACTCGAACCCTTGTCCGAAACGTCATACTTCTCGTCCGTGTCTGAAAGACTGCCCAAATTCTCTTTGGGGTTGTAGTTGATATAACCGCTTGTATAACAAATCTTTCCTGGGGATGCAAAAACGGATGCAAGTGTGAGGTCAAACACTTTTGCATTTGGTGATCAACCCTGCAGATGATTTACTTGTTCTGGTGCGAAAATGAGTGCAATGCCTATTCTAATATAATACTAGACACAATCGTAGAACACACTGTCCTATGATTTCAGCTACATTCCGTCAACTGCTTCTCAGGTTAACTTGTCAAATTTTTTTCTGGAATAACCTAGGGCAAGTGTCAATTTTGATTTTTTAAGCATAGAAATAGTTCAGTGGTTTTTCTGTCCGTTTTTGTGTTGCTTCAACGAAGAGACTACATATTCTTTTTTTTTTCTTTATACTCATTAATTTTCTCTTTTTTCTAATTCCAGCGAGATATAGCAGAACGCATGCGTGCAGAGAGAGAATCGTATTTTTTTCAAGATTCGTTCTTCCTAATCTCGTCCGTCTACGATGTTTAAAGAATAATTTCAGCCTTGGAGAATTGCCAAAAGCCACAGGGAAACAAATCTATACCATGAAAGGGGTTTGGATCCACGGGGCGAAGAATCTACTCGTTCGATCAATGTCAATAGGATGGACCAAGTCCCTCAATAATGTCTTACTGTCAACCGATTAATCACACGGGAAAATTTTAAGCCATGCGCAGTAAGGTCTCTTGTGATTGGTTACCAAATTACGCCAACAGCGCACCACCAGTTCTCAAGATAATAAAAAGAAAGCCTGGATACCTTCCGAACAAATAATATATAACGAAACTCTAGAGTCAGGATGTTGAGATAACACAAATCAGCTAAGTGACAAACTATATATCTGTATCAATTATATATATATATATATATATATATATATATATATAATTATTTATTTAAAAATATGATTCCAAATCGCTACGTAAGAGGTCTCATGTTTCAAAACAAGAGCCGAAAACTTCAATATAATCCTTTAAATTAAATTGAGTTTAAATTAAAATGGGCTCCGTTCCATCTTCAAGCAGAAATTTATATATATATATATATATA